CCCCCCCCCCCCCAGTGCTGGGATTAGAGGCGTGCACCACCATGCCTGGCCATGACTCTTGTTGAATGAAAAAGCACATGGTCAGTAAAGGAAAAAGGATGGGAGCAGCTTCCCAGAGAACAAAAGAACCTGTTTCCCTCCTCCCCCATGTGTATTCCAAGACTGGCTTTAAAACCGATTATGGCACCCTGCTTGTTAACATGACATTAATCAGAGAACTTTGGAAGCTGATAACTCCACTCATCAAAAATTCTCTTCTTTTCTTAAATTGACTGTTGGATATTACTTAATTTGCCTTCCTTTACTGCAGTCATGACAGATGGCAATCATGGGATAAGTAGATTTCTAAAAAGTTAACTTAATTAAAAGTTAACTGCAAGACAGATTCTGCAAGTTGAATCATTTCCCCACTGATCTATGATACACACTTGGCAATAAGGTCCCAGATGAAATTCTCATGAGAATAAACAAAATATCAAAACCATGAAGTAGCTCTCAAAACACAAAGCCTCATTCTGTAGCATATGGGTTTACACAGTGCAGCCACTCTTATGTGAAGAAACCAGGAAATGTGGTTGGCTTTGAAGAGAGTTAAATCTTTCCCAACTTTATTTTATTTTATTTTTGTCTTTTTGAGACAGGGTCTCGCTATGCAGTTCAGGCTGACCTTGAGCTCACTTTGTAGCCCAGGCTGGTCTCAATCTTGCAACAATTCTCCTGCCTCAGCCTCCTAAGTGCTGGGATTACAGGCATGCACCATCATGCCTGGCAAGATTTTCTTTAACTAATAACTAGTCATGCTTCTGGACTCATCCAAAACAAAAAAAGTGAAACTGATCATGTATACGATTTTTGTTTGGTACCGGGAATCGAACTCAGGACCTTGTGCTTGCCAGGCAGGCACTTGTGCCACTGAGCTATATCCCCAGCCCCATGTATATGTTTTTGATAGATAAAAATATAGTTAAGCAGCCAGGTGTGGTGGCACATGCCTGTAATCCCAGCACTCAGGAGGCTGAGGCAGGAGGACAGCCACAAATTCAAGGCCAGCCTGGGCTACACAGTGAGTTCAAGGCCAGCTTGAATTACATAGTGAGATCCTGTCTCAAAAAACCAAATATATATATGGACCTTCTTAGTAGTATGATGTCACCTGTGTCATCTTTGGAGTCTTTGTGGTCTTAAGAAAAAAAAAAAAAAAAAAGCGAAAAGAATGTCAGGCAGACTCCACATGCAGTGGTCAGGCAACTTTGCTGATCTCTGGGAAACTGTCCTAGGTCTTGGCTGGCAGCACAGAGCCCAGCTTCTTGACAGCCTAATGCCCATTTCCTAGGCTCCTTTTCTGGACTGTTTAATTAAATAATTAACTCAGATTTGAACACGTCTGTTCTGCTTCTACTGAACGCAGAACCTCTGTCTGTCAAATCCCGACAGCTGTTCAGAGAGGGCCCTTGGTGATAAGAACCGCTCACCCTCTGGGGTAGCTATATTCTGGGATGGTACTTAATTCCTCAGTCATTTAAGATTCAGCTCTCCAGAGCCTCTCGACTGTCAGGCAGAAGTCATTCACTTACCTGTTCATCAGACATATATTAATTAATTGCTCAGCATTAGGCACCATGAGTTTTGTTTTTTGTTTTGTTTTGTTTTTGGAACCAGGAATCGAACTTGAGACCTTGCGCTTGCCAGGCAGGCACTTGTGTCGCTGGGCTATATCCCTGGCCCACCATGAGTTATTAAGAGATAGAACAATTAAGGCAAAATGCTTCCCTTCGGGGCTGGGGATTTAGCTCAGCAGCACAGCGCCTGCCTGGTAAGCACGACGTTGTGAGTTTGACAGCTGGTACCAGACAAAAAAACAAAAAGAAAAAAAAAAAAAAAAAAAAAAAAAAAAAAAAAAAAAAAAAAAAAAAAAAACCAAAATGCTTCCCTTCTAAGGGTCACAGTCTAGGTAAGCGAAAAGCTTGAAGCGGGTAATAATGAAGGTAAGTATGAAATGCGCAGTACAGTGAGAGAAGTCTAAAATCTCACTTGGGCCTTCAGAGACCAGGAATTTGCCAAGTAGATGTGAAGGGGCAGGGACAGAAGGGGAAAATATCTCAGGCAGAGAGCATGGCATGCGCAGAGGCATGGAGGGCAGAGACTGTGTCTTACCCAGCTTGGAGCCTCCAGAGTTGCAGCTCTGGTTTTTAGTCTGCTTCACTCTCCTTCCTTTGCCCACTGCACCTGCATAGCTGACCCATGCAGGGGGTAAGGCATATGACCCAAGAACTGGCAAGTCCGGGTCCCAGGAGGAATTAAGGGGGAGAGAAGAATGGGAGGCTTGACTCTGATACCAGCCAGGAAAGGAAGTTTGCAATCAGATAGAGCAAAGATAATCTACTTAAAGGCAAAGACAAGACACCCCTTGCAGTGTTCTCATCCCTGCCATCTGCTATACCTTGCACTCTGAGCTGAATCCTGTCCTTCCAGTGGTTATGTAAGCAACCACAATGCCTTTCCGATAAATCCCTCCTTACTCCTTGTGATGGTTATTCTCGACTGTCAACTTGATTTGATTAAGAAACACTCAGAACTCCGGAGGCCAAAATAGGAGGATCAATAGTCTGAGGCCAGCCTGGACTACATAATGAGACCCTGTCTCAGAAAGCTAAAAACAAGAGGGCAAGGGGAGGGAGCGAGAGAGGTGGGGGAGGCAAGTAATCACATTTCCAGGTGTGTCTGTGAGGCTGTTCTCAGAGACAACTGGCAAGTTGAGACCTGCGCTAAATGTGGTGGTACCATCTTACAGGATGGGGATCCAGAAGAAACAAAAACAGGAAGGTGAAAGCCTGCCAGCATATGCTCTCTTCCTTTGTGCTTCATGGCTGCCCTGAAGTAAGCAGCTTTCTTCCACGTGTCCTTCTACCGTGATGTTTCTGCCTTGGAACAGCCAACCGGGGACTGAAACCTCTGAAACTGTGAGCCGCAATGAACTTTCTTCCTTTAAGGTGTATTTCTCAGGTGATTGCTCACAGTGATGGCAAGGTGACTAACACGCTCCCCCTACCTGGTCTGTCACTTGCAGTCTAAAAACCTAACATAGGGAACAAAGACAGGCATCTGGAGGCAAACTTACCCAGCTTCTCTGTGGCTTCCACACAGATGCTAGGATACATGCCTGCCGTGTAAGTGGCCACCAGAAGATACAGATGGGTCTTCACAACAACTATACCAGTGTTCTCCTGGATGAAGAATAAAATAGAATGCCCTGCTCTTGGCCCTAACCACAGGACCACCAGTTTACCTTCCAGCCACATTTTCCACCATTTCCTGACTTCTAGTCTTTCCTGAAAATAGTTCAAACTGTTGTAATAACAGCATGCATACTATGAAAAAAATTTTCAACTGATTGTAATATGCCCCTACCCCAATAGAACAAATGATGCAATGTGAAGGTGAAGGTGATACATTTTGGGATTGGACGGCTCTGAGCCTGAATTCTAAAATCTCCATTGTCTGCTGAGTTATTTAACCTACAGTAAGCCTCAATTTTCTCAATGGTAAAAATGAGGTATTAAACTTGTAAGGTGCAGTATACCTAACTCATAGTATAAACTGTCCAGTTCTGCATAGGTAATAGAGAACTAAGATAGTTTAAGCACAGGAATGATACACTAAGCATCCCTCATTAAAAAAAAAAAAAAAACTAAAACAAACAAATTGACATACTATAAAACCCAAAATTTTCAAGCACCAACAGTAAAAATGCAGGCACACTAAAAATATTGTATAAAACTACTTTTAAGATGGGACAGAGATATAGCTCAGTGGCACAGTGCCTGCCTGGCAAGTGCAAGGTTCTGAGTTTGATTCCCAGGACAAAAAAACCAAACTACTTTTGGGCTATATCCATAAAGTGTACATGAAACATGAATTTCATGATTATGCTTGGGTCTCATTCTCAAGATATCTAATTATGTAAAGTATATGCAAATATTCCAAAATCCAAGACACTTTTGGTCCCAAACATGTCTGATAAAGAATACTCAATCTGTATGAATTTTTTTTAGAGGAGGAGAAAAATAGATTATGAAAGATGGATTGTACTGGAAAGAGATAGCTCTGGCAAAGTTCAGTTGATCGATTCTTCAATGAATATTTGTCAAAACCAGGCTTTTTCCTACTACTTTCTTTCAGATATGCCTTCCTGGCACTGGAATGCTATCTTAGTGCCTTGAGGCAATAATGAGCTTAATCTGTTTTATGGGAGGACCAGGAGGGGCAAAGAAACTAGAAGTCAAAACTCGTGAAGTTTTTACCCAGCTCTCTTCAAATCTTGAATACTCACATTCTTAGCATAAAGAGAATAATCATCTGCCCGGACACATTTGTAGTCCTTTTCCTTGAAATACAGCCCTTCTCTTCGGGCTTGCAAAGGGTTTTTGGCAAATCCATTCACAAGTGTTTGGACATCACTTGGCATTACCTATAGAGGTTAAACAGACCAGGAATCAGCAACTGATGGCCAGCGGCCAAATTCGGCCAGCTGCCTTTTTTTATGGCCTGAAAGCTGCGAATGATTTTCACATTCTTAAATGGATGGGGGGAAAAAATTAAAAGAAGAACATCTTATGACATGGGACAGTTTCATGAAATTAAATTTAACACAGAAAAAAGCGTTAAGATGGGAGTGGTGGTGCACACCTGTAATCCCAGCACCCTGGAAGCTTAGGCAGGTGGATTGCTGTGAGTTCAAGGCCAGCCTGCAGGACACAATGAGAGCCTGTCTCAAAAAAAGTGTTATTAGAGCAACGTCTATTTTTTTTTTTTCCCCTGGACCGGGAATCAAGCTCATGAGCTTGCGCTTGCCAGGTAGGTGCTTGTGCACACTGAGCTATATCCCTGGCCCCTTACATGTACTATTTGTGGCTGCTTTTCTCTTATAACTGCAGAATTGAAAAACTATGTTGCCCAGAAACCTAAAAAAAAAAAAAACCTCAGCATAGGTTTTTTTGTTTGTTTTGGTTGAGACAGGTCTCACTGTGTAGTTCAGGCTGGCCTTGAACTCTCCGTGTAGGTAGGCCAGGCTGGCCTCAAACCTCAAACTCACAGTGATCCTCTTGGCTCAGCTTTCCAGAGTGCTGGGACTGCTGTGGATGTAGTTCAGCGGCATAAGTGCTTGCCTGGCAAGCCTGAGGTTATGAGTTCAGTTTCCGGTACCAAAATAAATAAATAAATAAATAGAGTGCTGGGATCACAACTGCGCACCACCACGCCCAGCTACCATAGTTTTCAAACGAAAAAATTCTTCTAAATGCCTTATGCCCGAACTTGTTTTTTCTTACACTAAATCCTGGTGTAGCGACACACAGGCTCCGCTCCTGCAGTTTGATGAGGGCCGCACTGTCCACGTGCTTGGTTCCCAAGAGGGCATCTAGCAGCAAGCTCTGCAACTGGCTCATGCTGCCTCCGCTCTGAAAACGCAAAAACTGCGGTTGAAACCATCCACTCTGCCTACTCTTAAAGGCAGGAGAATACAAACGTCCCTAAGGCACTCCAGTTTCCATATTAGCGGGTGTCCTTTGAAATGAGGGAGAGGTAACGGTGGCCTATCATCTAGTGTCCACCAATCCTCAAAGAAAATAGAATCAAAGCAGAATTAGTATACACAGAGTGGGTTATGAGGCTGAGTGGAAAATCTGCCTAAATTTTTCTAGCTATGTCAACAGTTTCCACCAGGATCACCTGAAATTTTAAAAACCAACCACCAAAGACAAAAACAAAAACACCCAGAAAACAAAAAAACCCCAATCAATCAACCAAAATAACCCCAGCCCAGGCAGGCTGGAGACCCCGAGCTCATGGGGACTCGCTGCTCGTGCATCTTCACACGCCCTTCCCGCTGACCGGCAGCAGGGCGGGCGACAGACACCGACCAAGCCCTAGCGGACGGAAGACTCCTTGAAGGATTTCAGCCAACATTCCTGCCCAAGTCCCGTCCTCTAGGTCCGTCCTCTGGCCAGCCGCCGCCAACACTCATCCCTAGCAGAGACGCAGCAGGGGAGACGCCCCGCCACAGGACTGAAAGTAGGGGTCCGGAGCTCGACTGAAAGGGTAGTAAGTAATTTCCAGTCGTGGGCAGGGGAAACGCCCACCGGCTCCGGGCTCTCGGCAGCCGACACCACCCCTCGGTGAGTTCCCAAACCCGCGCTCCGCAGGGGCGGGACACAGGACGTGATTGGCTGTGTCAGCTGCCTGTCACCGAGAAGCCTGGCCCTCAGCCGGGTACCCAAACTGCGACCAGCCCTAGGGCGCAGGCGCGGTCTTCGCTGCCTGCGCGTTGTCGCCACGGGGACTCGGGGTCTGGGGGTCGCGGGGTGCGACCCGGAGACGCTGACGCGCGCATTCTTACGTTCCGAGACGAGTGGCTCGGGCCGAGGGCGGGCGCGGCGATCCCCGCGGCAAGGCCGCCCTGGGCCCGGCGTGGCGCGGCGAGACAGAGACCCTGTTCCCGGGGACTGAGCCGAGGGCCGGGCCGCGGCGACCCGCGCCCTGCTCCGGTGAGAGGGGCCGGGCGCTGGGGCGGGCGCGCGCTCCCGCGGTGCAGGCCTCGGGGAGGACTGGGGGGCTCCCCGAGCTTCAGGACCCGTACATGTGGCCCGAAAGCCCCAACCTTCCTTCTTGGGCCCCTCAGCCTGTGCCTCCTTGGCTTTGAAGTTGCACCGACCCCCGCTCGGCTTCCGGACTTTGCTGCGCGGGAGTGGGACTCTCGGGCCGGGCTGATCGCCGCGCCGGCTCGGATGGCGCCCTTGGGGGCCTGGAGGCTGGGGACTCGTTCGGAGAGGGCCGCGTCAGGCGGCGGGGTCCAGACACCACCCGAAGCCCGTGGGAAAGGCCGCTTGTTAGGGAAAGCGTGGCCGCTGGCCTCCGAACAGCACGCCCGTGCAAGTTCACCAGTATTATTAAGCACACAAAAAAATACGATGATTGTGAATTTTCATTACTAAATAAACTGATTTTTAGTTTTCCTAGGGGTCTTGTTACTTGTGACCACAATGAAAAACGTAGACAATGACGATCTGGTAACTGGCACCCTTCCCAAGCTTAAGAACTCAAGAGAATTGTTGGAGCCGCGGGCGCTTTCTTTTATAGAGGTACCATTGGCGTTTTGAGTATCTTACTTGGGTAGTTTCAGCGAGAAGCTTGTGCTACCTGTTATTTTTTCCTACAGTTTCTATTTCATTCTCTTTATTCCCGGTACTAACTTGGTATTTACTTTGCTCTTCATTTTTTAGCTTCCTAAAGTGGAATTATAGACCATTGATTATATATTATTTATTAGAAAAATCTAATAAAGCCACCGGTTTCTCTTGAAGCACTGGTATAGTGGCGCTGCCCAAATTTTGATTTGCTGTATTGTCATTCTTTTTTTTTTTTTTTTTTTTTTTTTTTTGGTCTTTTATGAGACAGGGTCTCGCTATGCAGTTCAGGCTGACCTTGAGCTCACTCTGTAGCTCACGTTGGCCTCGAACTCGCAACGATCCTCCTGCCTCAGCCTCCGGAGTGCTAGGATTACAGGCATGCGCCACCATGCCCGGCTGTCATTCTTTTTTCTAAACAGCTTTATTAGGTCATAATTAACATACAATAAGCTGCATATATTAATATACAATTTGATACGTTTTGACATATGTGTATACATGTGAAACTATCACCACAAATAAAGATAATAAGCATCTGTTCAACATTGTTTTCTCATGTCCCTTTGTAGCCTGCCTTTATCTCCTACAACCTCTTCTTTTTCATCATTGTAGTTTAGTTTGCATTGAAATTTAAAATGTAGATGGACTCTTTCCGTATGCATTCTTTTTTGTGCTTGGTTTCTTTCATCAATTTTTTTGCTTTTTTTTTTTTTTTTTTTTTTTTTGGTACCGGGAATCAAACTCAGGACCTTGTGCTTGCCAGGCAGGCGCTTGTGCTATATCCCTAGCCCATATCTTGCATTTCATCCATGTTGCATGTACTAGTATTTCATTCTTTTCCTGAATGTTACTCCATTATAAAGGTATATCTCAATTTGCCCCTCTTATTGATGGACTTTTGGGTTGTTTCGAGTTTTATGTTATTATAAATAAAAAAGCTGTTATGAGCACTGATGTACATGTTGTTGGATGGACATACGCTTTCATTTTTCTTGGGTAGATAACCTAGTTGTGAAATGATGGGGTCACATAGTAAATGAAATTAGTTTCTCATGCTTTCTTTTTTTGTACCGGGAATCAAACTCAGAACCTTGTACTTGCCAGGCAGTCACTGTGCCGCTGAGCTATCTCCCCAGTCCAAACTTAGTTTTTTATAAAGCTACCAAACTTCCAAAGTTATTAAATTGCAGTGTTTTACATTTCCACTAACAGTGCATAAAAGTTAACAGTTGTTTTATATTCTAACCAACATTTAGTATAGTCTTAAAGTGTTTTGTATAGTCCTTTTGAGACATTCTGATGTGTATCAGTACTTCATTGCTTTTTATGGCCAAGTATTGACCCACTGTATAGATACTACATTCTGTTCATCCATTCTTCAGTGGATGAACATGTGAACTGTTTCTGTTTTTTTGCTATTATGAACACACCCACCTCATCCCTCCCTCTACCCACCCATACCCCATTGCTGGAAATGGAACCCAGGAATCCAGGGCCTCACACATGCTAGGCGGGCACTTCCACACTGAGTTACTCCTCCAGGTCTATATGAACATTGTGTATCTTTTTTTTTTTTTTTGAGACAGAATTAAAGAAATACAAAAATTCCAGAGAAAATTTTCAGGTTTATATATATCAGATAAAGTAAAATGAATCCAGATAGTACTAATAATTTAATTTTTTCAAGATTTGATTTTCAAAGTTTAGTTCTGTCCTTTCAGACCTTAGCTAAAGAAGATACAGATGAAGCTATTCGATTAATATTACAGAGAGAAAATCATGTAATTAAGGTAAGAGCTGGCTACAAATGTATCTCAAAACATTAAATTTTATTTTTTCATTTTCAATGCAGTATACCCTATAAAATTCAGACAGTAGAATTAAAAACACTCATTAGTACCAGGGATTAACATTAAGGGATCTCAGAGTGATGGACTTTTCTTTCTACATTATGGGGGAATTCCTTCTATAGATATGGCATAAGGGTATTCTACTCACTTGTTCTTTCATCCAAGTGGGGTTTCTACTGAGTCATATGAATGAACAGATCTTTAAGCTGTGTGATCAGAACACTTGGCTAGTTATTAAGTAGATATACATTGGTAAGCAGAAGTATTTAACTGTAGATAGAAGAATGCCTTTCTTCCTGATTAACTCCTCATTCTTTAAGGCCCAGCCGAAATGCCTCTGATTTAACAGTTTTTAAAATTACATTATTTAGGCTGGGGATATAGCTCAGTGGCACAGCGCCTGCCTGACAAGTACAAGGTTGTGAGTACAATTCCTGGTACCAAAAAAATAAACAAATAAATAAAATAATTTTGTCCATGTGGTAAAATGTATACTGTATACCAGCAGTCCCTAACCTTTTTGGCACCAGAGTCTGGTTTCATGGAAGACAGTTTTTCTGTGGACTGGGAATTGGGTGTGGGGGGGATTTTAAACATTTAAATTTAAATTTTTTTAGTTTCTTTTTTTATTAGTATTTATTTGGAATACATAATAATGACATTCCCCAATGCTAGCCTCACCGCCTCAGCTTCACCTCAGATCATCAGGCATTAAATTTCATAAAGAGAATCCCTCACATGTGAAGTTCACGGTAGGGTTTGTGAGAATGTGAAGTCTTGCTGATCTGCCAGGAGGTGGAGGTCTGGCAGTAATTCAGATGATGAGGAGCTACTGTAACTACAGATAAAACTTAGCTGGCTTGCATGTTTCTCACCTCCTGTTTTGTGGCCTGGTTCCTATCAGGCCATAGACAGGTATGGGTCCATGACCTTGGGGGTTGGAGTCCCCTGCTCTTTTTTTGGTCTTTTTGAGACAGGGTCTTGCTATGCAGTTCAGCCTGAAGTTGAGCTCACTTTGTAGCCCAGGTTGGTCTTGAACTCACAATGATTCTCTTGCCTCAGCTTCCCAAGTGCTGGGATTACAGGCATGTGCCACCAAACCCGGTTTTTTTTTTTTTCTTGGTACCACGACTCAAACTCAGGACCTTGTGCTTGCCAGGTAGGCGCTTGTGCCACTGAGCTATATCCCTGGCTCCCCTGTTCTATACTACATAAGACTTTTTTTTTCAGTACTGGGGCTTGGACCCAAGGGCACTCTACTACTGAGCTACATCCCCAGTCCTTTTATTTTTTATTTTGAGGAGTCTCATTAAGTTGCTTAGTTGGGCCTTGAATGTGTGATCTTCCTCAGCCTTTCAAGTAGCTGGGATTATAGGCATATGCCTGTGCCCAGCTATTTTTAACCATTTTAAGTGTATACCATCAGTGTTTCTGGTTTTTTGAGGCAGTATTGTGTAGTCCAGGCTAACCTCCAACTCATGGCAGTGCTCCTGCCTCAGCCTCTTGAGTGCTGGGATTACATATATATGCTATCATGCCTGGCCAACCATTCAGTGTTTTAATTACATTCACAATGTTTTGAAACCATCACCAGTATTTCCAAAACTTTTTTTGTCACCCCAAACTGAAAATTTGTACTCATTTTTTTTTTTTTTTCTCATTTATTGATAGACACGCGTTGTTTCTATCTTCTGGCTCTCACAAATGCAACAGTAAACGTTGTAGAAATATTGTTTGAGTCTTTGCTTCTAATTCTTTTGGGCATATACCTAAGAAGTGAAATTGCTGGGTTCTATAGTAACTGTTAACTTTGAAAAACTCCCAAACTAGGAATTTTTTTTTTTTTTCTCTTTCTGAGACAGAGTCTCACTATACAGTTCAGGCTGGCCTTGAACTCACTTTGTAGCCCAGGCTGGTCTCGAACTTGCAACAATCCTTCTGCCTTAGCCTCCTGAGTGGTGGGATTACAGGCTTGCACCACCATGCCCAGCTAGGGATCTTTTAAGACTCTTAAAAATAGTTTTTCTCTCTTCTTTGTCTTCAGTTACTACATATATAGTATGTCCTATGTATACATTTATAAGTATCTGTATGTATGTGTGGTCTGCTGTATTGTCTCTCCTCCCACTTTTTTGTAGACTTATTTCTTAGTCTGCCTCCCAGGGAAAGCAGGCACATTGTCTCAATTATGTATGTATTCCTTGTTTCTAGCATAGTGTGTGTCAAATGGTAGAAACCAAATAAATTATTACACTAATTAATGCATATGTGAGTGGTTCTTATGGATAACTTAAACTTAGAAAGTTTAAGAAAATCATAGAACAAAGAAGCTTTGGGGTAAAATACTGTCTTTTCTGTCACTGTTCCCCAGAACCTAGATAGGTACTTAAAACATCATGACTTCATGAGCACAAGAAGAAAGGAGATGTTACACAGAAGATGGGCTCACCTTGTGGCAGACCCTCTCCACAAGGAAATTATAGAAAAAGTCTGTTCATATAAGAAGATTAAGGAAAGGAGACAAGAGGAATTAGATGGTTTTTTAAAATATGCCAATAAAAAGGTACTAAGATCATTTGATACTCTTTTTACTTGGTTTAAGCATTATGAATATCTTTGTTCACTTAGTACTTACTCATCCAAATAGCCTGCTTCTCCTCCCTCTGTGTGTAAAATCTGTACCTGATGTAGCATATAGTAGTCTTCAGTCCCAGGCATGTGGGAAAGATGGAAGAGGGTTGGGTCTGAATATAACTGTGTACCTTAGAACCATTTTCCTCATAAAATTGTTAATTTTATTTGCTCATGTAAAACTTTGACTTCAGCCAGGTATGATGGCACATATCTGTAATCTCAGAACTCTGGGAGGCAGAGGTAGGAGGATCTGAAGTTTGAGCCAAGCCTGGGAAACTTGGTGACTTAACGAGACCCTGTCTCAAAATAATAAAATAAAAAATAAAAAGAGCTGGGGATGTAGCTCCTTGTGAAGACCCTGGGTTCAGTCATTACACACACACACACACTTAGAAAGCTATTAAATATTCTGTTCTGACATTTTAAAAAATGGGAGATACTTGACTAGTAAGCATTTACAAACATTACTAGGCAGGGGTTGGAGCTTGGTAGTAGAGTGCTGTCATGAGGCTCTAGGTTTAATCCCTAGTGCTGAAAAAGAAAGGAAGGAAACTCACATATTTTGGTGTTCCAATACTCATTATTAAAATTTTGCTAATTTTAAGTAGATTCCTTCCATCACTGTAATACACTTCAATAAATCAAGTTGAATTGTAAATTTAGTTTTCCTTTTGCATTTGTCATTGATGCCACTTGGAAGCATAAGAGTGAAAATGTGAATTTGCTTTAAGTCTTGATATGCTAAGAATTAGTTATGTACCTTTTATTTTTATGTGTGGTTTTATTTCCTTTTCTTAGGGAAATGTTTTTATGGAGCATTATGATCCAAAAGAGTATGATCCTTTTTATATGAGGAAAGAAGACCCTAACCTCCTGAAGGTAGGTAGATTTCTTATTTTAACTTTGATAGTATGTTTGTTTTTTTGAGCAGCCCTGATATATAACTTGTCATTTAATGATTACTTTAAAATTCAGTAATATTTTAAGAATAGTGTATCAGTTAGCTTTCCTTTGCTGAGACAGAATGCCTGACACCCATGACTTACAGGAGAAAAGGCTTAGTTTTGGTTCATAGTTTCAGCCCATGGTCGAGGGGCTCCAAGGCAGAAACCATGGTGGAAGGGTATGATGGAGTAAAGTTGTTCAATCCATGGCATCCAGGAAGCACAGAGAGAAAGAAAACAAGAGAGCCAGAGACGAAGGAACAGGGACAAGAACATTCCAAGTCTGCTTCTAGTGACCCACCTTCAACCTGGTCCTAACTCCTAACAGTACATTCAGCTGATGGTCCAATCATCTTCCCAAAGCCCCACCTCTTAACACCTGAGACTTCTAGGTTATTTAGATGGAATGAAAACCCTGAAAGTCTTGCTATGTGCTCCACACTGGCCTTGAACTCACTGTGTAGCCCAGGCTGGCCTTAAACTTGCAGCAGTCCTTGTGCCCCAGCCTGTTCAATTCTGTGATTACAGGTGTGTGCCACCAGTGTTGCTTTTAAGTTTAAAATTTGATTTGCTACTCATATATGAACAGGTCATGTAGAAATACCTGAAAATGATAGTGCTGTTTTTGTCTCTTTAGATAGCAAGTTAATGTTTTCTTATTATTTTATAGGTAGCCTGGTTTATAACTTCTTTGAAAGTAAAATTCTATTTTTTTTTTTTTTTACTTTTTTTCCGGTACCAGGAATTGAACTCATGACCTTGCGCTTGCTAGGCAGGCGCTGTGCCGCTGAGCTAAATCCCCAGCCCCAAAAGTAAAAGTCTAGAGGGCAGTCCTATTAACTCTTAAAATTCCTACTATTTAACTCTTAAAATTTATGTTGTATAACTATCCCATAAAAATAAATCTGATTATTATTAGAAAAATACACAAGTGACTTTTTAGCCTTGTGGTAGAATTTCACAGACTAGGCTAGACCATGAAGGTGACTGTGGCCGAATACTGTTTTCTTATGGGGAACTCTCATTTTGTTATTTTAGTATATGTGCTGCCGAAGCAAGCACTCATTTTGTTATTAATTAACATTGCCCATTAAAATAGATTTAATACTTTCAATATCTTGGTTAACAGATGATCTATGTTTTGAGTAGTATGTTGGCTTTTTTTTGGCGGGGGTGGGGGTGGGGCGGGGGTGGTTCCGGTACTGGGAATCGAACTCATGACCTTGCACTTGCCAGGCAGGCGCGGTGCCACTGAGCTAAATCCCCAGCCCCTATGTTGGCTGTTTTGTATAACTGTTAGTTATGTTGTTGATTATGGGTATTTCTTAATTAAGATGAATACATAGATTTTTTTTCTTTTAAGCATGGAAAGAATTTTTAAATTTAGGAATATATGATAACAGCAAAAGAATTTTTGAAGATTGAACCCATACTTTGAAACAATAGCTAATCTTATCTTTGGCTAGAGGTCCTTGTTGAGAAAGGCACTAGAGTGCCCTCAGCTCTTTGTAATGTGTTAAATAAATGTCTTTAGTGAGTAATATAATGGAGATATACATGTATATATACATATTTAATAATTAGGTCTGCAACAGTCCTAAAGAAGTGTTTTTCTTGTAGCTTATCATTCCACCATTTCATGACCCTTTGAGAAAAGCACAGTATGACAAGGATGAGGAGAAAAGAACTCTTCTTCAGTGTGAGACTGGTACTTAGTCCCTAATTCTTATGTAATTTCAAAGCCCTAGAGCAATGCTTGCAAGTAAGGGGGCTAATTTAGCTTACTAATCTTCCTGCAGGCAAAATATATACAATGAAAGAATTTAAAGAGATTGAGAAGGCCCAACTACATTCCAGATTCCCAAGAATTTCTAGTTCAAGGCATTCTGTGACTCCAAATGAATGGCTTAAACTGCCTACAAGATACATAGAAAGTGAATTTTGTAAAAGAAGCAGGTAATGTTTAATAGATTATAAACCTCTTGGACTTTGAAATTTCTTTCCTGAGACAGTGTAGAATTTTTTTTTAAGTTTCTGTTTGTTTGTTTGTTTTGTTTTTGTCTTTTTGAGACACGATCTCACTGTGCAGTTCAGGTGGGCCTCAAGGTCACAACGATCCTCCTGCCTCAGCCTCCTAAGTGCTGGGATTGCAGGCGTGCACCACCCTACCTGGCTTTATTTTTTCTGTTTTATAACACATTTATGGTCCATGTTTCTTTTTTTTTTTCTTTTTGAGACAAGAGTCTTGCTCTGCAGTTCAGACTGGCCTTGAGCCCACTTTGTAGCCCAGGCTGGTCTCAAATTCACAATGATCCTCCTGCCTCAGTTTCCCTAGTGCTGGAATTACAGGCATGCACCACCATGCCTAGCAGTCCATGTTTCTTATTCCTGAAATTAAGTGGTTTTTTTTTTTGGTTTTGGTACTGGGATTGAACCCAGGGTCTTTGAACTGAGCTATACCCCTAGTCTTTATTTTTTTGAGACAGGGTCTCACTAAATTGCTACATTAGCCAGGTGTGGTGGTGCATGCTTGTAATACCGGCACTTGGGAGACTGAGACAAGAGGATCATTGTGAGTTCAAGGCCAGCCTGGGCTACAAAGTGAGCTCAAGACCAGCCTGAACTGCATAGTGAGACCCTGTCTCAAAAAGACCAAAAACAATAAAATAAAATAAAAAAGTAAAAGGGCAATTCTTTTTTTTTTTTTTTGGCTTCTACTATTGTTTTTGAGAAGTCTGCTGTCATTCTGATTTTTTGTGGTTATTTTTAAGATACTCTGTTTTTAGAGTTCTGCATTCTCTGTAGAGGTGAACACAATGTCTATGGCTTTTTTTTTTTAACATTATGGTATAAGCTCCCAGAGTATAGGGAGTGGTTTAACCTTTGCCTGGCTGATTTTTGGTTCTCAGTGAATGTAATAAATCAATCTCTATTACAGTTTCAGAAATTCTTAAACAACTAATATAATCCAAGAAGTATATAGGTTTGACCTAAGGATGATTTGTATAACAGTAATTTTTGCATAAATGGAAGATAGTATTGTTTTCAAAACACCCTCACATATGTTCTCTCTTAAAGGTTAAAAGTGAAAGTGAACTTCAATGATAGTAGTTTTGATTTGAAACCCTTGCCTAGAGTTCCTTGTCTTCTGGAATCCCAGGAAGCAGGAAAAGCAGTTATTTGCAAGTAAGTCAGTTATTCCATTTTGCTGTCCTTTCATCTAAGATGTTTGGCTGTGTTGCCATCCTGTGCTGTCCTCTCAAATGCTGGAGTCAGTGCCAAGGCCTCACCAGGCCCCCTGTGGACTGATAGCAGGCAGCTCCCACCACTGATTCTGGGTAAAGTGACAACTTTCCTCAGGCTTTTCTGGTTTTAAGGAAGAAATAGCACAGAAATGACAAGCACAGACATGGGGAAAAAGTGGTTGACGGCTTGTACTAAAGTTATAGTTGATTTTAAACTGATTTCTAGTTGAATTGGAGTGTTATAAATGAAGTTTGGGACGTTTTGGTTGGTAGTAGCTGTTACAGTATTGTGCCCAGAGTGAAAAGGTGTTACAAGCAGAGAAGTGGTACATACTCCTATGCATGTAATATGGGATGTTACCTCAATTAGTTATGGAATTAAAAGAGATTTCTCTATGTAATTATGTAGTCTGTTATGATCTGATGAAATGTAATGGGATTCTTCAGACATTCCTGGAGGGAGTGTAAAAAATGAAGTGACTTTGAAACAGAGCTTGGCAGTTTTTAAAAATGTGAGATTATCATTTGACCCACTAACTCATATACTAGGTTTCTTTTTTTTTTTTTTTTTTTTTTTCCATATACTAGGTTTCTATTTAGGAGAAATGAAAACAGATCTGTAGGCCGGGCATAGTGGTGCATGCCTGTAATTCCAGCACTCGGGAGGCTGAGGCAGGAGGATCACTGTGAGTTCGAGGCCAGCCTGAGCTGCATAGTGAAACCCTGTCTCAAAAAGGCAAAAAACAAACAAACAAACAGATTGATGTCAGGGCAAATATAGTAATGTTCATAACAGCATTATTTAGAATAGCCAAAAAGTAAAAACAACTCAGTTGTTCATCAGCTGATGAGTGGATAAACAAAATGTAGTAGACCCATACAATGAAATACTATTTGGCAATTAAAAGTAAATAAAGGACCAGGAATATAGCTCAGCGGCACACTGTCTGCCTGGCAAGCATGAAGTTGTGAGTTTGAGTCTTGTTACAAAAAGAAAAAGTAATGAAGTACTGATTTATGTTACAACGTGGATGGGTTTCAAAACTATTATATTCAGTGAAGGAAGCCAATCACAAATGACCAAATATTGTATGATTCCTTTTATTTGAAGTGTCCAGGAAGCAAATCTGTAGAGACAGAAGATAGGTAGTGGTTGGCTAGGGCTGGGAGTCACTGTGAATAAGCAGGAGGTTTGTTTATTTTTGTCTTTTTGAGACAGGGTCTTGCTATGCAGTTCAGGCTGGCCTTGAGTTCACTTTGTAGCCCAGGCTGGTGTCGAACTCACAAGGATCCTCCAAGCAGGAGGTTTGGAGACTGATGAAGATGTTCTAGAATTTGAATGGGTGGTGAGTCCACAGTTTGTAAATGTGCTCAAAACCATTAACTTGTACACTTAAAATGGGTTAATTTTATGACATGAAATTACTCTAAGTGAAGCTCCTAATACCAATAAAAAGCTCCTAATACCCCTAATGGGCTCAGCGTGGTCCATGCCTGTGATCCCAGCTGTTTGGGAGACAGAGGCAAGAGAATTGTGTGAGCCCAGGAGTTTGTGATCAGTCTGGACAATATAGTGAGATAAATAAAAATGAAAAGCAGAAACAGATGATGTTAGAGATAGGAGTTGGCTGCTATGGACTTCTCAGTTGTCTTGAGGTGTCGTTTAACAGTATGCTGCTAGGTCCCTTGAACAGAAGCTGAAATTCAGGGACAGAAGGAAGTACCAAAACTAAGCTCTATTCACTTGGAACCTGAAGGCCTGAAGAGATAGAATGATTCAGAATCATTTGCATATTTTAGGGTCAAAAGAGTAACTTCTTTGCAATCCCTAACTACCATGGTCTCAAAAAGAACAAACATGTTTGGGTAGGAATTTAAGGATAATCAGTATTTTAATACTAATTTCTTTTTTTTTTTCTTTTTCTTTTTGTTTTTTTTTGTCTTTTTTGAGAGAGGGTCTTGCTATGCAGTTCAGGCTGGCCTTGAGCTCATTTTGTAGTGCAGGTTGGTCTCGAACTCACAATGATCCTCCTGCCTCAGCCTCCCGAGTGCTGGGATTACAGGTGTGCGCCACCGCGCCCGGCTTAATCCTAATTTCTATAAATGGAATAAAAGGAGAGTCTTTGTCCTCAGATCACTTATGGTAGCAGAGTGTGACCCAGATATGAACAATATTGCACTGCTGGGAGTACCTGGGGGTTGAAATTTTAAGTTGGATGCTCAAATCTGTGAACTCCCCCTGGAATAAGAAAGAGGAAGAAAACTAAGTAATTAGCAAAGTATCCCAACTCTGCAGCAGGGGTGGAGAGGGGAGGTTTGCCTTTGGTAGACTTAGACCTTCCCAGGGCTAAATTTGCGAGGGCTGGAGTGGGGCAGTCATAAACTGGAAAATTTCTGTTTGTTGACTAGGTGCCAAAGAGACGTCAGGTTAAAATAATATGATATGTACATGTAAGTTTCCCAAGATGAATGTTATTGTGTATGTCAAAAGTACACTAATAGAAAAATAATGTAAGAGCAAGATAATACTGTTAATTTGGGTTTCTTTTCATTAAAACGTAATTTATAATTTGTTAATTTCAAATGAAATAATTAAATGGTATTTAAATGCAAATATTAAGTGCTGCAGTTGAGTGGAGAGTTAAGGGAATTTCGTCCTTTCTCACTTTTTCCTACAGAGACAATGGGCCATCCTTTTTGGAGAAGGAACCTCTCTGTTATCAGGAAGGAGAGAACCCCGGTCCCAAAGATGCCAACTCTGAAGAGCACTTGTCTTCACTGGACCTCAGCGGGAAGGAGAAAGGGCCGAAACCCAGGTTACGGTGAGACTGGGCCACTGTTGAGAGCAGCAGTGATGACACCACAGTCTCAGCTGCTGGGCACTGGTTGGTATAGCAGGCTTCTGAGGTGCGGGCAGGCAGCGTAGAGGCAGGTGTCCTGTCTTCAGAGGGAATGGAGAGAGCTGCACCACAGACATGCCCTCGGTGGGTGGCCTCTATTGTCTAGGATCCCTCTGGCTACTGAGTTTTCACCATCTTCTATCATCTGTCCATTTGCCACCTATATCCAAGCCAGGCCCAAATATTGCTTCATTTTAATTCAGTCAAAACAGTAAGATGTGATGGCACATATCTGTAATCCCAGCACTCAGGAGGCTGAGGCAAGAGGGCTGAGGCAGAAGGATTGCTGGAGGTTTGAAGCCAGCCTGGGTTACATAGAGAGTTCAAGGCCGACCTGAACTGGAGAGGAAGATCCTGCCACAAAAAAAAAAAAAAAAATTTTTTTAAAGGACCAATACTGAGCCAGGTATGGTGACACATGCCTGTAATTGCAGCACTGGAGAAGCTGAGGCAGGAGGGTCACTGTGACTTGAAGGCCAGCTGGGCTACATAGTGATTTCAAGGCCAGCCTGAACTACATAGCAAGACCCTATCTGAAAAAACAAACAAACAAACAAACAAACAAAAAAACCAAACTAAACAAAAAAACCCAATACTAAATTAAAGAAAGAAAATTTAAGAAGTAAAATCCCCAAATGTAAAACGCATAGCAATATAGGTGTCTACAGAGCCCAGATTTCTCATCTTGCGGTCACTATAGTTAAATGTGGTGGTTGATAGACACAGCCCAGATTGCTGCTTCCACATCTAGGTGGTGTTCCTCCCCTCAGCTCTCCTCTCACCTCTCGGTCCCAGTGCATTGGAGACAGTCTCTTACCCGTGGCTTTAGAGAAGTCACAAGTTTTTTTTTTTTGTCTTTTTGAGACAGGTCTTGCTATGCTGTTCAGGCTGGCCTTGAGCTCACTTTGTAGCTGAGGCTTGCCTCGAACTCACAACGACCCTTCTGCCTCAGCCTCCTGAGTGCTGGGATTACAGGCGTGCGCCACCATGTCTGTCTGAGAAGTCACAACTTTGTGTCCTCCTCTCACCTTCCACGTAGACAGGAATATGTGAAAGGCCGGCGTTTTGAGTCCACAGTCATCTGTCCATCTGCTTTCCTTCTTGTTTCTCCATTTCCCTGCTGCTGTCCCAAAAGGATTTTTGTGTTCACTCATGAAAAGACAGTAAACCTCCTCCCACTGTGCTTGCTTGCTTCCTCAGAAATTTAACAAGCACCTGTTTTGAGCCAGGATTTGAGGGCCTGGAGACACCGTGGTGAACAAAACAGAGATGTCTCTGGTCTCTTGGAGTTTCTGTTTCAATGGGGAAGACAGTAACTAAACAAATATATACCATCCTGCCAGTTAGGAGTAAGTGCAGCGGGGCAAGCAGAACAGGCAAGGCGGGTGGCAATGTGGGGCGCGCACGAGGGGACTGTTTTGAGGGAAGATGTCAGAGAAGGCTTCTCTGAGGAGGTGACATTTATGCACTTACCCAAGAGATTGAGGGTGAGCTGTGGAGCGGTCTCGGGAAGAGTGTGGCAGGGAATGAGGTGGGTGTGTCCAGGAAATGGTAAGAAAAAGCCAGGGGGGCAGTAGCATGGTGGGTGTGGAAAGAAAGGCAGCCAGTGAGGCCGGAGAGAGGCAGGGGCCCAGTCCCGTGGGGTCAGAGTCCACGATCAAAAGCTGGGATGGAGAACAAAGCAGGAGGAAGCCATTTGTCAGTGGTTTTGAGATGTGGTCGTATTGTGTAGGCCAGGCTGGCCTCAAACTTGTGATTGTCCTGCTCAGCCTCCTGAGTGCTGGGATGACAGGTATGTGTGAGATCATGCCTGGCTCATTCAAAAGTTTTGAGTAGGGGAGAAATAGGATCTAAACAACAATTTGAAAAGAGAATATGGCTGCCTTAGGACAGATTATACAGCAGCAGGAGAGCAGTTAGGAGGCTGGAGTGCTAGTCTAGGTGTAAGCACAGGGGACTGAGCTGGGGTTTGGGGAGCTGAGAAGTCAGTGGGGTGACAGAGCCCACTCAGATTTGACAGCAAAATCCAAGGCAACTGGACCCTTAGATTTCTGTCCTGAGAGGCCTCGCTGAATTACGGTTCTGTTCACCAGCTAGAGAAGTTTGAGGTGAATTCAGGGAGGGGAGGAAGTACAAAAGTAAGGAATAATCCTTGGGAACTAAATTCAAGATCCCAGTCTCCATAGCAATACACCAGGAGCATTTGTAGGGTGTGATTATAAAGCAGTTTAACCTTTTTGTCACTGACCACTTCAGTGTGCTCTGTTTAGGGTATTGCCCTTGTCCCAGGTGTTCTCAGATGCTAAAGACTGCCTGGCCTTATCAACAGAAGGTCTTCACCTCAGTCTCCTCTCCCCGGCCCTGCAGGGAAGAGTGCAGAGCAGCTGTCTTCTCTCGGTCCCGTCTTCCTCTCCTCCCTGCCTCTGCATCTTGCTGCACTTTTTTCTTGTCTCTTCAGAGTCCTAGGGGGAGGAGAGGGGAAACAAAGGTAACGAGTGCAGGAGGCTTCTCACCTCGTAGTTTTGTGAGGAGCTATTTCAATTGCAGAGGATCGGGGCTGGGGATTTAGCTCAGCGGCACAGCGCCTGCCTGGCAAGCACGATGTGAGTTCAATTCCCAGTACCAGAAAAACAAACAAAAAAAAAATTGCAGAGGACCCTCCAGACTTGGCAGGTGTTTAACATTGGCATTTTTTTCTCACAGGCACTTTCCCGTCATCTTCAGAGAGGATTCCTTTGCTTGGGATTTCTCTCCTTTTTATGCTCCTACATAAGTTCCTTTCCAGCTGTTGCTTCCGGCTGCCTGTGGTCCGTGCCTCTGGTGGAATCCCCAAGTCTCCCTGCGCGGGGACCCCCTTGCTCCTGCAGGCAGATAGAAGGAATCAGGACTGGATTAATTTTCTCAACACAGGCCCTTGTCGCCTATCTGCAGGATCTTTCTTCACAGCATCCCCTAGCCTGCTGCCAGGGGCCCTTCTGGGCAGCCCTTAGCCTTAGTTTTTAAAGGGGTGGGTCTGACTTCAGGTCTCTGCGCAGCTGTAATCCCAGGCAGAGGAAGTTTGGATTCTTCCTTCCCTTCCCTTTGGTGGTGATGGGGGGAGGGTCTCACAAAACATTGACTTGGCAAAAAGAAAACATACAAAATCCCTCTTGTTCCTTTAAACTCCCAACCTTTTTATAGTCCTACATAAATGTGTGGTTAAAAATCACAAAAATCAGCTTGCAATTGGCCCTCCTCTTTGCAATTCCTGAAGACTTGCAAGTCCTCCAGCGCTCACTTTGGAACATACTATCTGTTGGCTAAGTGTGAGCAGGTGGATGTACACAGTCCACAGGTCGGGGCAGGCTGGAGTTGAGCAGTGTATCTCAGTCATCCTTGTGTAGATGCAGGTTGGAAATATGAGATCACTTGGGTGTGAGTATCAGGAAGACTGACTGCGGGGTCCTGCAAACTCCAAGGAGGCAGAGCATGGCTAGGGAGGAAGGAAGGAAGAAAAAACAAGAGTGGCAGGCATGGTGGCACACTCCTATAATCCTAGCACTTCGGGGGGCTGAGGCAGGAGCATTAGAAGTTCAAGTTCTGCCTGGGCAACTCAGCAACACCCTGCCTCAGGATGAAAGAAAATAAAAGGGCTGCAGGTGCAGCTCAGGGTCAAAGGACAGTGGGTTTGATCCTCAGTCCAAAACAACAACAAGCCAGACATAGTGGCGCACGCCTGTAATCCCAATGCTCGGGAGGCTGAGGCATGAGGATTGTTGTAAATTTGAGACTAGCCTGGCCTACAAAGTGAGCTCAAGGCCAGCCTGAACTGCATAGCGAGACCCTGGCTCAAAAAGACAAAAACAACAACAAAAAATGGCACAAGGAGTCTGGCGTTGTAGAAACCTTGTAAAGAAAGGGCTTCAATCAAAAGGATATGATCAACCCGATCACAGTGCTCATGAGAGGGTAAGCAAAACAAAACATAGACTGGTCACTGGCCTCTGTGTTCAGCAAGATTTAGAGATTAAGCAGCAATTCTCAGCAACCAGGTCACTGTGGAGCCCTTGGAGGGAAAGCCCGATTACAGCAGGCTCAAGAGAGAATGAGGTGAGAACTAGAGACAGGATAGGCAGCCCCTCTGTGGGATTTTGCTATAAAGAAGCAGCAAGACGGGAAGGAGGCTGAAGAGGGCAGAGCCAAGAAAGGATTTTTTCAGCTGCTGGATAGATAACCGGTGAGATGTGCCAGTGGAGTGAGAAATCGGATGATGCTGAGGGTGATGGCAGAGTCTTTCAAGAGGCAAAGGGTGGGATCCAGGACTCGAGAGCAGGACAACCTGTGTGTGGTAGGAGGAAGGAAGACAGAAAACATGGTTGTATAGGAAGCGATTCAGTGAATTTTGTGAAGAAAATTGTTTACTTCAGTTTCTCAGTGAAGTGAAAAAAGTCATCAGCTGATAGGTGGAAGGGAGATTTAGAAGTTTGAACAGAAGAAGGAAGAAAGGAATCCAGTAAATTCTAAATTGCAACGATCCAAGTGTAAATTAGTATTCCACATACAATGTACTGACATCTGGAAGCAGGATCATAGGGGCCCTCCGGTCAGACCACACATAGCGATCTACTCCATCCATGCTAAGGCCGGCTCTGTGACTGAATTGTGGGTGTTCCTGGATCCAGACAGAAAAGGCTGAGGTGGGAAGTTTAGGTGGAGAACCAGCCCTCGAGATGAGCCACTCAGCCAGGGCAGAACCAGGCTTTGGGTATCAGCTCAGCTTAGTGGGAGAATTCTTTCTGCTCTTGCAAGCATCTCTTCCTATGTCACATTCAGCTCTTTCTTTTGTCACTTTCAAAAGGTTTCAGCATCCAAGGCTCACATGTCCTGACATCTGCCCTGCGAAAGGGGACCCAAAAGAAGGCCACTGCCCAGGAAGTTAACCCACTGGCAAGAGTCCTTCAGGGTCGGGCTGGAGAAGGCACTCAGGAAGTGTTCTGTCTCTGAGAAGCAACACCTGCAATAAACTTCATTTAGTTTTTGACTGTAGTGCCTATGATAATTAGGAAATGGCAATACCACGTATCGACAGTTACTACAAACGTGTTTTCTCTAGAAGTTAAAAATATTGCTGGGCGGTTCAGTGAAAATAATAGTGATCTTACTGAGTGCCTGTCTCAGTTCCTTTGGCTTGTTCCTAAGTTAAGGCATGCTTCCTTTGGTCAGGCACCCTTAAAATCCACATCCACATGTCCTCCCCAGGCTTTCCCAAGATTCTTTAGAAAATTGAAGAGTTCATTTTGGGTTTGATTATTCACTTTCTGATTCTCATTCCAAACATCAGCCTCCGGCTCACGTTGAATTTCTTTTTTTTGTTGTTTTTTTTTCCAGTACCGGGAATTGAACTCACGACCTTGCACTTGCCAGGCAGGCGCTGTGCCGCTGAGCTAAATCCCCAGCTGCTCATGTTGAGTTTCAATCCTAGGACACAGCAGAAGGGAACAGAATTTTATTTTCCTTAGGCAAAAGGGGACCCCATGCAGCTGCTTTTGCTGCACCACTAAGAGAAACAGATCCCAGGTCTGATTCCCGGGGCTCCAAGAAGAACTTGACAACTGCATTCATCTGCTACCACTGTTAAAAGCCAGGCCACCTCAAGAGGAACTGCCCTAAGAGGCCCCATGGGCCATGCCCTGGATGCAAAGGAGACCACTGGAGATCGGTCTGCTCTCTGAGGTGGAGGCCCCAGAGCTCAGACCCATGCTACCAGTTAGTCCAACAGGAATGAGAGGGCTTGGGGCATGGTCTGCCTTCTCCCTCTGGCCAGACTGTCATCTCCATCGAGGAGCCCTGGGTAATCATGACTATGGAGGAACAAGAAAACAGCCTGTTGCTAGACACAGGTGCAAGTCTCTCGGTCCTTCTTTTCAATCCTGGCCTTCCTTCCAGCCATCATACCTCAGTGAAAGGAGTCACTGGTGAGGAGGTAATATGCTATTTTTGACAACCCTTAGGCTGTAACTACTTAATAGGTCCCTCTTGCATATCTCTGTCTTCCTGAGAAACCATATTGAAGATACCACCACGTATTACAGCAGCCATTGATATTTTCCTACTAATCTATCCATAACTGTGTAAAGTTTGTAATGTTCCTATCCTATTTCATAAATGGATGTATGTTTATTATTATGTGTTTCCTACAACAACCATTGAGAATAGTTAATGATTTTTCAATAGGTCACTCATGTATAGCTCTATTTATTTTCCTTAGAAGCCACTTTGAAGATACCAAAGTATAGTACAACAACTATTGATAATCTCCTACCTCTTTTGTCTGTAACTCACTATTATTTGTCTATTTGTTTTCCTGAGAAACTATTTTGTAGACAATAATATGTAAAATGATAACCATTGATAATTTCCTACCATTTTGTCTGTAATTTGCTAAGTCCCCCCTATTATTATGTTATCCTTCTTTTATTCTTTAAAATAAAATTTAAAAAAAGGGGACCCCATGAGACTTTTTTTTTTAAGAACTGAGGGGTTCTGAATTTTTAAGTCTGTCTGTCCCACATACAATGTAATTGTCAAGAGCACCCTATTTCCTACATAAAACGCCCTAGCTTTCACCAAAAACAAACAGAAAACTGGCATCCTTGTTAATCCAACATGTAATTCAGCAATCTAGAAGATCAGTTTATGCACCTGAGGACCATCGGCAGAATGGGGTAATTCAAAATGGCCCCTGTATGTTTATGCCTTGACTCCAGCATCCTGGAGATTGTTTTATTTTCTTGCTTTATTCATTTTATTCTCTTTTCATATTCATTGTTCACTCTAAATTATTCTACCATGATAGTTATCCAGTCTCTTAGTGTCTTACCTACAACCAGCATATGGTTTCAAGTGAAAACTAGATTAATTTTTAAAAAGATTATAGGGAATTTCAGAAAATTTTACATAAATAGAGGTAATTGTATAAGAAATCTCTGTGTCTATCATCCCACTTCAATAATGATCACCTCGTGGCTAGTCTTGCTTTTCATATTTACACTTAACTTCGAAACCCCAGTGGAATGACTTTGAAGAAAATTCCTGATGTAATATCAAAGTATAGTTTGCCACTTGAGGTGGTGGAGAATGGACTCCTTTCTCTTCCTGTACTTGGACTTGAATAGCACCTCCGGATAACTCATATTTCCTCTGAAGGCTTATACTACTTAGGATACTTTGTCTTGTAAGTAACAAGCAAAAGTGAAAGCTATTGGAAGAATACAAAGGTATCTCAGAATCCTTGCAGGGCCTGAGCAGCAAAAAAAATCTCAGACTTTCCATCTAGACTGGTGTCATGAATGTGAATCAAATACCCCAGTTTTGGTTCAAAAGCCTACAATGCTAAAAGGAAGCTGGGAGAATCTGATCCCAGCCTGGGTAAGGTGTGCACGATTTGACCAATGAGTCATGGCCAAGAGTGAAGTCACACAGGGAGGCCCTGCCATCAGGAGTCCACCTCTGTGAGTAGAGTTAGGAATTCACTAGAGATGGGGCCAGATGGGCATTGCTAAGTGGAGCAAGGACTGTGGGAATCAAAGAAGAAAGCTGAGACCAAAAAGGCAGGCAGGGGTCAGAGATCATGCTAAAGAGTTTGGGATTCATGGAGCAATCCTGAGGGATTTTTTTAAAAGATTGATTGATTGAGACAGCGTCTCACTACATAGTCTAGGCTGGCTTTGAACTTACTATGTAGCCTAGGCTGGTCTTGAACTCACAGTGATCCTCCTGCCTCAGTCTCCTGAGTGCTGGAATTACTGGGCTGTGCCACAATGCCTGGCCAGGTGACTCATTTTGGACATTCCAGAAATCTTTATAAAAGGCAGCCTAAATCTATCACAAATTTTAAAAATAGAAATGTAAGCGCAGGTTTATTTTATGAACAAGGTTAATAGCTTCACAAATAACATAAGACTTTTTGACTTGAAAAATTTGGGGGGGATAGAAATGCTTTTTTTCTGTTACAGTTACAAATGAATAAAAATAAGAGCTAGGCTAAAATGGCAACCAGAGGCCTACTGCAAAACTTCAAAACGTTTGATTTCTCTTGGAGAAGTCTCTGGTCTCTTGAATACATTTTATTATTTAAATAAATTTCCTTTCATATAGAAGTCAGGATTATGTCTTATTTATCTATTCATGCATGTTATTCACTTAATAAGTACTGTATTTCAGTGCCTGTTTCCCCCCAAAAACTAGTTGTGGGGCTGTCAAGATGAACAGACATGGGCCCTCTTGCCCTGGAGTTAATGGGAGAAACACACAGTAAACAGAAGATTTTAATTCTGTAACGTCCCTGACTGAGTTGGGCATATTTAAAGAGAAGCAGGAGCATGGTGAAGACTGAGTGAAGGACTCCATTGCCTAGGAACATCAAGCAGAGATAAATGCCCAAGTGATGTTTTAAATCAGATGGTACTGAAATAATTCAAATA